GAGGACCAAATTCAGCTGGAAAAAAGTTCAAATTTGTTTAATTTTGGATTTTTACTGGATTAAAAAGATACATTTAGCATTGTATTTTTAGTAAAGCAACACTTCGGTCTTCTTTACTTTTCGGCTCTTAAAAAAAGAAAAACAAAAGAGAGAGAGAGTGAGAGAGACAGAGAAAATTAATAAATAAAACCCTGCATGGTTTTATTTTTGTTTCTAGTAAAGTACTGCTGGTTAAGTAAAGACGCAAACCTGAAGGAAAATAAGCAAAATTATATACATATTCAGCAGCTCCTAAAACATTTACACACACACACACACACACACACACACGCACACACACACGCACACACACACGCACACACACAAAGAGTCCGGGTGGAGAAACTAGTTTGCGTGCAGACTGATCTGAAGCTTAAAAACACGCAACCCGGGAGTGTGAATTAAATTAGTGGGGTTATTTTAACAATGACCAAACCAAACCTCTGCGTGCCAAACGCGTATTCCAGCAGCTCTTTAAAAAACGCGCTTCCAGCTCAGCCAGGCCGGAGTGAAAAGGCGAGATCTCCGTGCAAATGAACTCAATTAGAATTTAGATTAGACCTCCGGGGAGAGAGAGCGTTTCAGAAGGGTCCTTATCAGCAAAATAAATTAACAAAAACCAAAAAACACGCCTCTCCAATTATCTGCTGAGCGCTTCAGAGTCTTTAATGGACAATTGCTCTTAATAAAAAAATAAATAAAAACTTACAGGAATGAGAATATTAAAAAAAAAAAAAACAAATAAAGGAGGAGGAAGTTGGCTCGATTTATCGGCTTCAAGATGAAGTCCTTGACAGTGCTGAGTAATTGATATCTGCGCAAAAAATTCAATATAAAAGTGCAGCGGTACAAACTGAAATCAGGTGCGTGGTACGGGTTATTCATGAAAAATGTTTCAGGTTTTTTTTTTTTTTTTTTAAATATACATTTTAATATTTTTTTGTACTTTAGCTATAGGGTTACTTCGTGAATGAACCGCGGCTCAGAGTTCCTCGGAGCGAAAATGCACACAAACCAGAAGATTTTGCGTAAAATCAGCGAAAGAAAACAGGAAACTTTACCTTGTTGTTCTCCTTCCCTTGTCCCGAGCGCTCGAACCGCAAGAGGCGAGTAAAAATTATCCAGCTGCAGGAAGTCTGCGGGGCACAAAACTCGCGCAGCGGCCGCAGACTTTCTCAGAAACAAATATCAGTGCGCAAACCGAGCAGCATCACCAGCATTGCCGCGTCCTCGGTGCGGTTCCGGCCGTTTTTACAGCCAAATAAATCAAACTCATTTGCTTTCAGGGGGTTTGTCGTTGTCTGTCAGAGTGTTAAGGTGATTTCTAATGGAGATGGATGGAGATTGATCACCTTCTCTCCGCCCCGCGCCTCTATGAGCGGAGGATCACCTGCGGATCCGCCTCCTGCAGCCAATCAGCGAGGGCTAGCGAGCTGACGGACGGCGCAGGCCACCTATGGGGGAGCAGAGGCAGCCGGGGGGGGGGGGGAGCCCACTCCCACTCATCTCCCCCCACCACCCTTCCTCCTCCTCCTCTTCTCAGTCCCGGACCACAGGAACCACAGAGCGGTTTTAAAAAGATGGAAATGTTTCGTAGGCCTGCAGGGGAAGGTGCTTCAGAGGCTGCAGGCCTGCGCTCTGCTGTGCGTATAAGAAGAATTTAGAAGGTACTCGCACCTCACAGGAACCAGTTTTTTTTATTGTTTGCATGCCGGGTATAGAGCATCTTTGCTGGGATTGTCAGCAAACTTTAGTGCTGACTTTTTTCCACCTAAAATACATATTCTGGGTTTTTGAAAAGACCCCCCCACCAAACAAAAAACAGACGAACAAACGCTTCGATGGCAAAGGTTACAAATCAAGATTTAGTAGCAATAGAAACCCGAGGAAACCCCCGCTGTAGTTTGGCAGTTATTTCCTAAAAAAAACAAAACACACATTTACGAGAAAAGGCCTCGAAGCTTCAGCCACATTTTTATCTACGGTCACCGTTTGTTTCTCTGCCATTTTTTAAAAAACACAAACAAGTGGACACCGAACCATAAAACAGAGGATAGAAGTTAAAATTATCCATTTTGATTTTATTGTGATGCCCACTCCCAGCCTCCTCCCTTCTTTTTTTTCTCTCCCCCGCACACACAGACACGCACACACACACACACCAGTCTCATGAATATGAATGAGGTTTAATCCCCATTTAGAATTACATTTGAGGATGGTTGACGTAAAGTTTAATAGGGGTAGACCTCCAACTCACTGCGGAGGAAAAAGAAGAATCCACAGAAGAAGAATCAGCAGCAGAAAGCTGCGGTCACCGAATCAAATCCTGTGTTGATGTTTTTAACACGTTTTTAACCCTCCACACTTAAAGAAAAACACTGCGTATGCTTTATGATTTGGCCTGAGTGGTACCGGGTGTCAGAGGGGGAGGGGGGGGGGATGCCGCTTCTTATTCTCTGCAAAAACACAAACTTTTGTAAATGAGGCCCGAGCTGAAAGCGAGCTAATGCTCAAAAAGAGAGGGAGAGGGTGAGAGAGAGCAGGGATGGAACTTACAATTTTATGTGTGTGTGTGAGTGAGGAAGAGGAGGAGTATCAAAGTGGAGGCCGATGGGACTTAAAGTCATCGATGAGAGCACTTTGACAGAGAAACTTGAGCATCAAAAGTCTGCAGAGCACAATAATAATAATTACAAAAAAAAATAAATAAAAAATATGTAGGTTGTGTGCGCAGGCCTGCAGTGATGCTTGTTACAGACGCACCTGAACGCACCTTTCTGTGCAGGTCCGTGTTTTTACGCAGAGGCCAAAATCAAAGAGAAATCAGGCCCGTTTGATTGAAGGGAGGCTGTGTGCGCAGAGAGGAGGCGGCCTAAAGTGGAGGTATTTGATTTGGGTTTCACGCACCTTTTATCCATTTTTTATTTCCACCACATCTGAAGTCCGAGCTGTCAGAGGGCCGGCGAAGGCTCTGACCGAAATACCACCACCCCTCCTTTCCTCTGCACATGCACACACAGGCTCCGTTAAATTATGCAAAAAGGCCATTCAACAAATATGGCCCTCACAACACAAAAGAGACGGTTTATTCTGACATTTCCCCTGCATTGCTTTTTTTCTCTGCCCCTTCCATCCTCTCTCGATGTGAGTAAGACCCCGAGATAAACCCCTGAACAAGTATCAAGTTATCAAGTTGCACCAACCTTTTGTAATAAGAGTATTTTGTCTAATCCCAAATTGCAGTTGAATTTTCTTAATGCTGAGCTGGTAAAGCCTGGGATTAGGCGGTGAGGAGAGGAGGGGGAAAAGTTTTGTCCCTTCAGCCGGCAGGATTGGAAGCGGGGATCTGTGGGGATGTTGTCGGTGCTTATTAAAACGATGATGCATAAAACGGACTGTTGTAGGAGCCCCGGCGCTGCACGCAGAGACCGCGGCTCCCTCAGGTGCAGCTTTTTTGGACGGCGGCGCGGGCGAGGGAAGTGAAAAACGCAGAGGCCGAGCGGCGCTCAGCACCTGTGAGGTGAGGCCAGGAGACTTCAAAGCTCAGGAGATAATCCATTCAGCTGAAGGATCCTCAGCTGCACAGCAGCGCCGAGCCACCGCCGTTTTTTTTACGCAGTGCCTCGCTCTTATTCAGCGAAAAAAGGAAAACGACTCCAAATAAATTTTCACTCCTTCTGCTTCTGCTGGAGCGTTAAAGAAAGCCGGGCGATGCTGCGGAGGTAGGACAGGTCGGTTTCAACAGTTTTATTCTTAACAAAATGCAAAAACGCCAAATTAAAAACATGTAGTGATTCATTTAAAATGGTTTAAAATAGTTTTCAGTGAAGTTGAAGTAATTTAGAGGAAGTTAAAACTTTTAAGAGTTCAGTTTTACGCATGAATGATTGTGTAAGGAAACAGCCTTTAAAATGTTGCATGTAAAATAATTTATAAGTTAAGTGTAAACGACAGGTTGTGTGCATCATTTTAAAGATTTTTCTCTCACACACACTCACATACACTCAGCACCGTTCAGGCTCTGCTCTTTTTCCTCCAGATCACAGGCGCCCGCGATAAACGCGCTGCAATACAAAGTCAAACAAAGCGCCTCGGGGGACGCAGAGTGCGTAATGTGCGCGTACAGTCGGTCCCAAGCAGAGAAGAAACGAATCAGCAAATTAATTTGAAAGTATTAGAAAGGCCGGGGAGGACGTCTGCTGTCACAACCGATTTTCCTGCTTTAATCGGGGATGGGAGGCTGCCTGCAGGGACAGAGAGGAGGGTTAAACCGCAGACACTTTGTTCATCCGGAGCTTTTATTGCAGGAACATTTTCCACAGCTCATTTCAGTAAAATGGTGCAAATTAAAATGGACACTTTAAGAATTTAAGGGTGTGATTTTTTTTTTCTACATCTTTGAAAATTAATACCAATTGTTGTGCCCGCCCTCCTCCCCTCATCCGTGGCTGCGGGTGACCGAGCCTCTCCAGCTCTGCAGCCCGTCCTCAGCGCGCACAGGAGCGGCCCAGAGAGAGGTGTGAGAGAGGGGGGAAAACATCTGCTCGGAACAAAGTGATCTCTCTAATCTTCCTCGGAGGAACCTGCTCGACACCGACCTCAAAGAAGAAAAGAAAAAACCCGCCAATTTTAATTTATAAACACGCGCACAGGTCGCAGGGGAATTGAACAGATCGCCGAATAATAAACGCAACGCTCGCCGGTGGAGGCGGTGATAGGGTCCACTTATGTGCGGGGGCTGCAGCCAAAGACGTGCATTTCAATAACTTTTTAAATTATGTAAACAGAAAGAGGAGGAAAAAAAGAGTTCAGATCGAGGATTGGAGATATTTCTTTAAACAGAGTAAAAAATAAATACAAATATTTGGAACAGAGTTTTGAAAGTGCGTGCGCCTTTTGAAAAATAGAAAATGAGTAATAAAAAAAAACATTAAATATAACAAAAATTTAAAAATCCACAGCGGCTAGGTTTTTAGTTTTTTTAAGAAGAGGCCACACAGCGTCTTGTGGAGTATGAAATCATAAAGACTTTATTACTGAAGACTTGGGTTATGACACTGGAATAAATAATCAGATAAATGTTCACACGTAAAAAGAACAGCTGCACAAGATGTGGAGCTCTAAGAGATGGAAGCATATTTCTCTTCTTCTGAATACAATAAATAGAAACCAAAAGTCGTTGAGCAAAATGAAACGTGATGGTAGATTCACTTAACAAGCAGCTTATTGGACAAATGACAATAAATAATATATATATATATCTGTTGTTTTCTGACTGCATGACTCCTGATGGAGGAAAAAAAAAGATTTTGGAAGCTGTTGGTCAGAGCAGTGATGAAAATATACAACAAGTGTTTTTTTTTTTTCCTTTCTTTGTTTTGGTAAACTGCTTTCAAGCCAAGACGATAAAAAAGCAATAGGAAAGTCAAGATTTGTGAACAGTAATGCTTCCCAAGTTAAGATATTTTACAAGTAAAAAGTGAGATAATTAAAAGATACGGTCAAGTAATGAAGTAGCTTGAAAAGAGCGATGTTATCTCTTTGTTTTTCTTTAAAAAGTCTGACTGAAAAGTCAACCCACCTCATCATCTTCTGAATATGATGGGGGGAAAGAAAAAGAAAAGAAAACAAATAAGAGTAAAATTTCCCCCATTGTTGTGCTGTACCTCAAATCCACCACAGACTGTGCCTGGTCTCCACATTCAGACGGAGCGAGCTGCACACAGGCTGTGCGCTGCCCTCGTCTCACACGTATTCATGTTTGTTACACAGGTACCGTTCTCGAGAAAGTAAAGCAGAGTTCAAATTTTAAAAAATAAAATAAAATAAAGGGGGACAGTCCGAGTCCGTAAAAAGTTGGTGCAAAGGTGTCGCAGGGCCTCTTCGCTCAGCCGAGTCTCTGTGGTTAATCTGACCCGAACATAAACCTCAAAGGGATTCCAATAACTGACAGAAATGTCTCGACTCCTCTATCAAATAAAATGATCGATAATAATCATGTGATACATTTCTTTTATCGGCTACATTTGTTGGTTGTGTTTGCTGACAATCACTGAAGGACGCACTTCTCCTCTTTCTTGGCCATCTTGCCTTTGTTCTGCTCCAGCGTCCTCTCCAGGTGCTCGTCCTCCTCCTCGGCCCTGCGGACGGCAAAAGGTCAAAAGGTCAGATGTCTCGGGGTGGGGTTGGGGTAAGGGGCAGACAGGTAAAACAGCTGGTGCCACGGTGAACGCCGCTGCACCACCTGTGGAGTGGCCCGGTGCCAGGGGCCACGTTCTGACCTTTTACCTGCCTGCGGTGCCCTGGAAGGGATCCCACCCGTGCAGGTGCGCCGCAGGGCAGGCTCGCCGTGCTTTCTCTACGTCCACAGCTTCTTGGGGACGTCTGTGACACCACAGGAGCGCCTGCTGTGCAGTGTTTTTATACTTGTGTTCAGTGTTTTTAAGTGACTTACTCTTTTTCCTGGGCGTCCAGGTCCCTGACCAGCGCGTCTCGCTTGTTGACCAGTATGACCAGCTCATCCAGCAGCAGCTGCTCCCGTCTCTTCTGGGCCTCGGTCTTCTGCCAGTCTGCAACACAACCAGAGACCTGCAGTCAGCGGTGGAGACACTGAGGATATTTCTTTTCTAAAAACCTCACAGGCTGCAGGATGCCTACATCTTCTTCTGGACTGAACCTGTAACTGAAGTGTTTTCAAAAAGATCTTTGGGTTTCCTGGATGTGGCTTCATTTATGTGAGGACTGCAGATGATCAGAAAGACGGAGAAACAGTTTCATCACCTCACTGACCTGCTGGACTGTGATGGAGCGGGACGTAAATGTGACGTGTAAACACGCTCCGTCAGGTTGCGCGCACAGTGATGACGTCATGTTAATGTGCAACTTCTCGCAGGTATAAGATGGCTCTCGTTCTTTTATAACCTCTAACTTCTCAGGAACACACAAGCTCTATTAAAGCGGCAGCTCTGCTGAACGACGGCATTCACGATCGTTTGTATTTGTCACATTTTTAGTTCTATCCTGAAGTGAATTAAGTTTGAAAGTCTCCTAAATTGAGTTTTAATGGTCCAAAATCCTCCACAGAAACTTATAAATAAATACCAACCCCTGAATGTCACCTCCTCAGCCAAACAAACAAACAAACACACACACGTAGGTGAACCCCTGACTCTCGTCTCTCAGTTCTCCAGGGTCTTTGCAGGAAGGGGCCCCACAGGGCCCCACAGGGTCCAGGTGGGACCCTGATCCAAATCCCCTCAGCCTCTCCCTGGAGGAGGGGGCAGCCCACAGGAGAGCGCTCGCTCCCCCTGGGGCTCGAATATCCGCCTGGCGCCCTCGGCTCTGCATTCACCCAACACCAGGGCAGCGCTCCTCCCTCCCTCACCCCAAAAAACTCACCCTAAACACTCACTGCAACCTTTTTGTGCAGTTTAAAACAACCACCACACTTAGCATGCACAGGCAGGACAACATATGCTGTACATAAATTAAACTGAATGAGATTCAACTTCTCGTCGTGTCACACACACGGCTGCCGGTTGCAGTGTTTTATCCATTTCACTGCCTCAAAGCTGGAGAAAGGCAGGAAATCTCCTTCTGCTCCTCAGCTCAGTGTGAGAACGTGTCTCCCTCTAAAACCTCCCTCCATCGTTTCATAATAAAACTGAAAAAAAAAATCCGCTTCGTCCCAGCGAGAATTCAAACAAACCCAAACTGAACTTCTGTGGCGCGTAGGCAACTTCACCCCTCTATCAATATTTAACCGGCTATTGATTCGAGAATAAAAGGAATGTTGTAAAATGTCAGTCCCAAAATAAGTGTGGCTTTATTAAAAATAAATATCACCCCTCCTCCTCCTCCTCATTGAGTCAAATTGCGGCAGTCAGGCTGTGTGCGTGTCACGCTGGGCCCAGTGGGTTTGTCCTGAAAGGTCTGCGCTCTCTTCATTGGCCCCGCTCGTCCCTTTGAAGTCGACCACAGAGCGAAATGAACACAGTCCCAATATTTGGCTCTCTAGCCCCCCCTCGTTATTTTTCTCTCTCTCAGGGAAGCAAATTTACTCTCTTCTGGTTTTTGTTCAGGAGTTAACAAATACTTCAAAATATGTCTGAATCTGCACCTCGAGGATTTGTTGCTCCTTTTATTTATTTATTTTTAAACATGTGGTTCTTTAGGAAGAATCAGAACAAAGTGTGGGGAATATTAGGTGAGTCATCAGCTTTAGATAACTGAGACAGGAATGTATAAATAAATCTCCCACAATCCTCTCTCAGAAGAGGAGGGTTCACGACGAACCAGGTGGTTTTTATTTTTTATTTTTTAATCTCCTTCAAAGGATTTCTCAGCCAAAAAAGCCAAAGACCTGCTGGACCCGGGGTGTGCATGGGAGGGGAAGGGGACCCATGAGTGAGCTCACTGCTGTCAATCACATGTCTCAGAGTCCCGCCCCCCTCATTAGGAAGGTAAACAATAAAAAGAGCCGATGAGCGACGTGACCAGGCAACACCAGAGCGGGGCAGGCTGGGTAACCAGAGACGCAGGAACAAACAAAACAGCCTGCAGCCACTCAGACCCCCCTGTAAGCCACGCCCCCCTCCATAAGAGAGTGGGAGAGGGAGGTTAAAGACTTAGGAGTGTGTACAACTCACACGGTGGGTGCGTATTCAGATAACTCTCACCGTGCACGCCAGTGGTAACCATGTGAATCTGCACAAGGCACACAAGAATGCGCTGGTTCAAATCCCCATGAACACCCCCCTCTTCTCTCCCTGCTCGCTATCCCCGACGCTAAATTTATTCAAGACAGCAAACCGGTCCAAAGCCTCGTTCTCTCAAAGCGGGACGAGGCCGCCCTTCATGCATCCGAGTCCGTCTGGCTGCCTCTTTTTCTGTTTTATACCAAAATACGGCGACATCACATCGGAGGGTTTCAATCGCAGCTTTTTTGGACATGGACACCAAAATACAATTTATTCACCTTCATTTCTTTGCTTTTTTACCCCCCTCGTCCTCTTTAGGCCCTGAGAGCTGATTTCAGCTGAAATCCAAGTGTCATCAGAGAGAGGGGGGGGGACTGATAATTAAAAAAGCAACAAACACAAAGGCTAAAAATTGCAAGACAAAAGTTCTCTCTAAATTACTAAGATTGCTTTTGTTGAGGTTCGAATATAAATATATATATAAATATATAAATATATAAATATAAATATAAAGTTTATATTGCAGTTTCAGAGCAGTTCATCCTCTACTTGGCCAAGAGATGACTGCATAACTGCATGTGACTTAATCTGCCCATCTATGTGATTTACTCCTGTAGGGACCTGACGTTTAGGGAAGCTGCGTGTAAAAGAGTACCAGTCCACCTTTTCTCTCAGGAAAGGCAGTATGAATGGGGGAGGGCCTTTCTTGTTAGCTTCTGAAGCCATTTTCCACACATGCACTCCACCCCTGAACCTTTCCAGACTTTACCCAGGTTCCCAAAGTTTGTGTGATGCTTTTTTGTTCAGACGTGTGGACAAAGTAGCTAATATTGTCCTTAATTCCATGAGTGTATGTCAGGTGTGCTCTACCACCTAAAACACGCTGAATATTTCTAGTAGTGCAAACCTTTGTGAAGCGGTGTTTCCTGCCTCATGCAACGTGCAAGGAGGTAAATTTATCTACAAGAGGACAAACCTGCCCTTAACACATTTAAACACAACTTGAACCTTTATAACTTGATGGCTCATAAACTATTTAACATGCTGACGGCAGCTACCAATTTACAGGATTTACTGCCTTTAGCCTCTGGGTGAGTATCAGGTGAGAAAGTTTGGCTTAGCTTCATTGTGTCTGTTTGCCATAAAAACATTCAGAATTGTAGTTTTCTGGTCTACGTGTCCAGCAGAAGACTGAGAACATCACGGTAGATACAACAATCAAGTGGTTTTCCACCTGTGTGAAGCAGGCTGAACCACAGGAAAGATTTTACATCTCTTAAAAAGCTGTAATTTCTTTCCAGGCATGAATGTGAACATTTTCAGCATCTGTTCAGCCTCATGTGACGATTAGCAGCATGTAATACCACGTTAGCTTCACTACAGGTGGCACCTGTCCTCGACATAAACACCAAGTTAAAACAGCTGGAGACGATGCGAATATTAAAACTTCAAGCGTGGACGCACTTCAACCTACACAAACACCCGAGCTGTGAATAGATAATTAAACACACTGGTCTTCTGAATTCGCCAAAACTCGAGCCCGGCGACGCGTGGAACGAAGCCTGTTGCTATCGGCCTCTTCAGTCAGTGTGCAAGCCTGAAAGAGTTGGCGACATCATCAAAAGTTGCCCATGTGATCGGATTCCAAAGTGCACCTAATCAATCAGGGTCTGTAGTGCGCTGTCCCGATGTGTTACAAAGCCCAAATAGATTTACAAATGGGCTGTGGGTGTGTGTGTGTGTGTCGGGGGTGTGGAGAGGGATAAGCTCCTGCATAGGATTACATATTGATTTTAAACATATAAAAAAGCTTATCATATCAAACCGTAACAAGGGGAGAGAAGAAGAAAAAAAAACAACTCTGGGACCCAGCTATGCATAAATCCCTTTTAGATGGCGAGAGGGCGTCCACTTTAAAAACACACACACACACACACACACACACACA